GGGGTACCCTCCAAGAATTCTGGATATCCATCCCGTTATACCAAATCAACTCAAATTGCTCAACTTTTAGGGGTACCCTCTAAAAATTTTGGATATCCATTCCATTACACCAAATCCACTCAAATTGCTCAACTTTTGGGGATACCCACTAAAAGATTGGGATATTCATCTCGTTACACCAAATCCACTCAAATTGCTCAACTTTTGGGGGTACCCACTGAAAGAATGGGATATTCATCTCGTTACACCAAATTCACTCAAATTGCTCAAGTTTATGTGCGTGTGGATAATGAGAAATGGATCGAATAGATACCCTAATACCTATGAATAAAATCTCGATACCCGAGTTATGGATATTATGACATCCCTCCTTTTTTTTATGTATATCTCAAGGCGTTATCAAACTAGATAAGTCAACTCAAATCAAAATGATTTTATGAAATACAATTACTAATTGATATAAACATGTACAACCAAATAATTGATTTCTACAGCCTATCTCTTGGTTCGTGCAGCAATATCACGTGATCGCAGACTTGCACATGCAAATATATTTTACTTTGTCCTTCTTTCAGAAGCTCTTATTCACTAGTAACCGAAAACATTCTGATGTAATTTTATTGCATTTTTCTAGCATCCTTATTTTTATATTCAATGGAAAATGGAGTAATTCAAGCATATTATGGAACACAGGCACGAAAAGCATTTAAGAATATGCCATCATTTCCACGTACCAACGAAGTCATACGAATCGTTCAATTGCTTGAAAAAACTGCCGTTACTCTCGATGGTTCTAGACGGTAATTGCATCATTTGTTTCTATGAAAATTCTATTTAGACAAAAAGAAAGAAAGAAACTTGATCAAGAGTAAGGGAAATTTTACTCAAAAATTGATACTACAACAAATGATACGATCTTATTTGGAGACAATAAGTTTACTGTGAGACTATCATGGAGATTTTTATTGCTTTTCTATTAACTTATGATATTGAACATTTGCTGAAATCCTGTATCAATCCCTATCAATGCAAAATTTCTAGCCGCAAACCGAAATTCGATTGTTTTTCAAAAAGTTTGTTGAAACCAAAGTTGTTGAGTGAAATATTGAGTTCAGATTTCATATTTGAAGATCAAAACTTCAGACAATCAAATCATTTCTAATTTTTGAGATATTTATTGTGACAAATCAAATGAATATATATACTGTCAATCGAAACAAAAATATATACTGTCAATCGAAACA